AAGAGTCAACAGAGAGGTTGCAGGAAGGCAAATAACTGCACTCAGGCTGCCAAACAGAGCTGGGCACGGAGGGGCCTGAAAAACCCATCGGGAACGGGGTCAAGCTTGTTACCTTTGGAACCCAGCGGAGACTGGATGTTGTGCCCAACCGTTACAAAATATCTCCTCAGGCTGACTGTGAATCGAGCATTCTTTCGAACAGATAACACCTAAGAATGAACTGGGCGTGTGCACCTTTAGTTTGCTTTCTGATAGGCGTCTTGCGCAAAGCTTCTTTTCCCTCTTTGAAGCAGTGGTTCTCGAACTCACCTGGGCTTTAAATCCTTCCAACAGATTGGTGCCCTTCCTCCCTGTTTCTGATTTGTTGGCTTGGAGTAGGCCAGAAAAATTGCATTTCTAAGGGTTCCCAGGTGATCCCCATGTTGCTGGTCAAGGGACCACGCTTTGAGAAAATGCTGCCTTAAAGGCTGCAATCTTTTGCCAGAAAGAACAATTTAGTGACAATTAATCTACAAGAAAAAAATTTCTATTTTATAGGTCCTTACCACTACCAGGCATACCTCAGAGATATTGCGGGTTCCTTTACTGCAGAACACCGCAATAAAGCGAATTTTGCAATAAAGTGAGCTGTAATCTTTTTGCTGGTGGAGGATCTTGCGCTCAATTTTTAAAAAACACACAACATCTGTGAAGCACAATGAAGCCAAGCGCAATGAAACGAGGTGTGCCGGCACTTAAAACCAGGCTTCTCTACCTCCGCCCTGCAAGTAGGTAGAAGCACCTGGGGGCTTTAAAAACTTCTGCCACCCAAACCAATTAAATCAGAATCATCCTGGATTGGGCCCAGACATGGGTATTTTTCACGTTTCCCAGGTGATTGGAAAGTGCAGCCGAGGTTTGGAGCACTATTTAAGAGGTCATTCTCGGGGATCTTCAGCCCGTAGGTTGTCCAGACAGGTAAAGAAAGGTGTGTTTGTACCCTGATAGCTACAACAGTGTGTCAACATTGCTTTTCACACTTCTTATATCTACAGCAATTCATTTTCAAGTCAGCACACTAAGTCTGGTCAAAGGATCGGGCTATAACTAGTATAAGCAGATTCAGACGAGTCAACGGCCTCCACAGCGCGCTGGTGTAAGCAGCCTGCTCTGACGGGACAAGATTCCCTCCCCCACCCCGAGATGCCCACGCAGCGGGGCTGTGGTCGCCCTGGGCCTGCACGGGTGCCCTTGAACTAGGCTGAGAGAACTACCCGTAATGGAAAAGCCCTGGGTTTGCGCTGGGCGGTGGGCTGGGGGTCTCATTGCTGGTGACCTTGAGCAAGTTGCCTGATTCTCAACCTTCGTTTTCTCGTGTTTGTAATGCTCATAGTACCTACTTTGTAAGGCTGTTGAAGAATTGAAGATAATACATATGAAGCCTTAGTGCTGCGTATGGCGCATGACAGATACCAAACACGTTTTAGCAGTGTTATGAGAGCGAAGGTCTGGTGAACGAGTTAACTGTGCACTCAGAGGCTTCCAGTTCTCTTTCAACATTAAAAAACAAAACAAAACACAAATCCCAGTGGCTGGACAACACCCTCTTGGCTTCCGGACGAAATCATCCCATGGTTTAAGCTTCTGTGTCTTTCTGAAGGTGGCTGGTGGAGGGTGTCTGGAGCGGGTTTTATCAACAAGGTGGAAGACTGTGCACATGCGCACACTGGTAAAAGGACCTCATGATGGATTTCTTCTTGGGTTTAGTTCTAAAGAAAACCTTTCTTTAAATATTAGTCTTCTTTTTCTCATTAGACCTTTTTTTTTTTTTTTTTTTAAATTCTCACCAGAGACTATTATTTCCATTGCTTTGCAGAGAGAGTGGGAAGGAGGGAAGGAGGGGGAGAGAGACAGGAGAGGCAGAGAAACATTGATGTGAGGGAGACACATCAATTGCCTGCCACACACGCCCCAAACGGGGCCGGAGAAGGAACCTGCAACCCAGGAACGTGCCTTTGATTGGGAATCGAACCCGAGACCCTTCAGTGCTCTCTAACCACTGAGCCATGCTGGCCAGGGCAGACCTTTTTTTATCTGTTTGAAATCTTAGAGCAAAAGTTTTTGAACCTGTGAGTTCATATATTTTTCCAGGGAAAGAATTTGCAAGGGATCCATAGCCCGAAAAAAGAAAACAGCTACTGGTTTGGAGGCAAAGGCTGTTCTCATGCTGGGGGTACCCACTGTCCTGGTTTGCTGGGGACTGAGGGGGAGGGTCTGGGGTTCCTGGGGTGTGGGGCTTTCAGCACTAACACAGGGACAGTCCCAGGCAAACTAGGTCAAGTTGGTCACTTTATAGAACTGAAATAGAACTTATTGCGTCAATAACATTGTCACAGTTCTGCTTTGTTCCCTGATGTGTTACTTGTCTGTCGTATCTGAGTGCCTCTGGAAGTAGCAGGGCACACATTTCAAATGCAGTCTCTGCCTCCCTGGTAGACCTGAGTGAGGCCAAGAGCTGCTCCTGCAGGAACCAGCTGGGCAGGGAGAGTGACACACCCTCCTGGGAAGACTGAACCCTTGACCTGAGTACTGTAGGATCAAGTTGTCAGCCTCCCACTCCTATAAACAGCCAAAACCAGAAAATAAAATCAACTTGTACATTATTAATGCCTAGACTCAGAACATCAAACTCTAAGGTCTCAACACAATTCAACACTACTCAAACTATAATCTGAGGATGTGATCTATTATTTCCACCTACACTCAAACCACCACCTTTCTTTGAACCTGGGCTTCAGGCTCCATTCCTAAACAGAATTTCTGCAGCTATCATACATATTAAACACAATAAAAATAACCTTCATCAATAGCAGGCCAGTTAGGAAGTGTCTACAGTTGGTGTTTCATTATCTTTCCAACTGGGAGATAAGAGTTTTATATTCTGTAAGTTCTCAAGTACAGAGAAGGCAGAGGGTAACCCAGGAAACAGCTCTGAGTCTGCTGGAATAGCCCTTTATCTGCAAAATTATTAAAAAGCTAATTTTACCATCAAACTTAGACATTTATTTCTTCACTCATTTTTTCCCTGATTTCTTTAAGGCTAGTATATGTAGGATATTTGTAAAAGAATAATCCAAAGAAAAAATGAAATCACCATAATCTCACCTCCGAGATTAAATACACATATGGCACAGTGTGATTATTCTCATAAGTGTAATTTGATTACTAATATTAGTTAATACAGTTTACCCATCCCCCCACTCCCAGAGCTACACACACATGATGCAGCATGTTAGTAGAGCTGTCAATGGTAAGTTATGTTTCCCAAGACCTTTGAAAAGTAATGCAGGCATTGCAGGTGGGCTGGCAGACTCCGTCAACAAGTACAGCACCTCTCCACTACAAATAAGAAACACTGAGTAAAAATCAAACATTAAAAAAAATACACACTCAAGCCAGAATGAAATAAAGGGAAACTCTCAAGTTCCAGAAATTAAGAGAAAACACAAAGGCAAAGTGGCGAGCCGGAGCTGCTGCCGTGGCCCCTGGGGTTTTCAGTCTGGAACATCTGTAGACTCCGGGGGCGGAGGGGTGGGTTTAATGCTCAGGCAAGGAGAGGAAAAGGAACTTTTCACCTTTCCCAAGAAGTTGGAGCTGGACAGTTTGCATAAAGCTTGGAACCTGACGAGCTGCCCAGTCTGTTTAAAAATGATTAGAAGAGCTCTAGCCAATATTCCAAGGAAGAAACAAGGATGCTTTCCATTCACCTAGGGCTAGGGCTTGAAGCACAAGTAACACTTAGCAAAACCCACTACTCTAAGCACATTCTGTGCACAGACGAGGAATCTCAGGAATTCCACGAAGTGTTTGAGGAACTGCTCTACAGTATGTGATCCAGGGCACGGGACAACTTTAGAAAAACAAGCCCTTCTGAAGATGAGCTCGTACTGAAAAATTACACAGCATGTGAAAAAATAATCCACCGTGAAGGGGAGTCAGTGGACATTAAAAAATGAAAGAGTTAGGCCCTGGCCAGTATAGCTCAGGTGGTTGGAACATTGTCCCACACACCAAAAGGCTGTGGGTTCGATACCTGGTCAGGGCACATACGGGAGGCAACCGATTGAAGTTTCTCTCTCACATGGATGTTTCTCTCTCTCCCTTCCTCTCTTGCTAAAAAATAAAATAAAATAAAAAATCAACAAAAACATATCCTTGGGTGAAGATTAAAAAAAAAACTACCATGAGATACCACTTTACACCCACAAGGGTGGTGACTATAATAAAAAAGATGTGGAGAGACTGGAACCCTCATACATTGCTGGTGGAAATGTAAAATTGTGCCACCACTTTGGAAAAGCCTGGCAGTTCCTCAAAATGTTAAATAGAGTTACCACATGACACTGCAACGTTAGCCCTATGGAGAAATGAAAACATATTGTCCACACAAAACTAGTTTACAAATATGTAAACAAATATTCATAGAGTAGAAATAACCCAAATGTCCATCATATTTTCTGACAATAAAAAAAACTACAACATGGGTGAACCTTGAACACATTATGCTAAGTGAAAATCCAGACACAGAATGCCGCATAGTGTGTGGTTTCATTTATGTGAAGCGGCCAAATAGGCACATTTAAAGAGACAGTCTGTTGGCGGTTGACTAGGGCTAGGCCAGGGGAAGATGGGGAATGACTGCTAATGGGCGTGGGGCTTCTTTGAGGATGGTAAAAATGTTCTAAAATTAGGCTGTGGCGATGGCCACGCAGTTCTGAGACTACGCTACAGCCCACTGAATTATACACGCATAATATGTAAATTCTATCTCAAAGCTAAAACAGGAAAACATGTAATGAAAAAAGAGATCCAAATCATAATGACAACCGTGACAGTTATGTATTGTTGAGTAACAAGTGACCCCAAAACTTAGCAGCTGAAAAGAACAAGCATTTATTATATCTCAGTTGCTCCTGGCCAGGAGCCTGAGAGGCTCTGCTGGATAGTTCTGGCCCTGAGCTGCTCGTAAGGTCTGGTCATGCTGCCAGCTGATGCTGAGTGGCTGAAGCTGCCCTGAACCAGAGGCTCTCCTTCCAAAGTCATGTGGCTTTTTTTTTTTTGCCACAGGGACCGTCCCATGGGGTTTTGTTTGCAACACGGTTTCTCCCAGAGTGGGTGATAAGAGAGACTGGGAGAGAGCGTGCATGCAAGCCCGAGACACAAGTTGTAATCTTTTATAGCCTAATCTTGGAAGCAACACACCTCCACTTCTGCCCTCGCCTCTGGGTCACACAGACAGCCCTGGGACAGTGCACAAAGGTGTGAATCCAGGCGATGGGGAGCACTGGGAGGCATCTGGAACCACTGTCCTGTACACACCTTGTACCACAGCAGCAAATACCCAAACCGCCGGTGGCAGAGCTGCTTACTGTCCCCTGATGCCCGCCCCCTTTCCTGCAGTAAGAGCCCCTCTCCCAGGCTGAGGCCGGGCTCGTGGAGGCCTCCACTGACCGGACACTGCATTTCCATGGCCACCTCTGTCCCTGGGTGCTGCCGTCCCACCAAGGCCTGGCCCAGGGAGAGAGAGGGAGCGGGGTGTGGCGATTCCTGGAGCGTGTTTATTGGGGGGGCTGGGATCCCTCTGCTCCCTCCCTCCTCAGGCTGCCTGCAGTCAGCGTGGTGGCTGAGGCGCCACCTCGGACCCTGAGGGCCAGGGCCTCGGTCCAGGGCCGGTGGAGCAGACAGCTAGAAGCAGTTGGGTTCCAGAAAAGTACGGATTTACTCGACCAGCCTTAGGGGCCTCACTCTGGGTTTTTACGAGACACCCTGTACTGTGTAAGCACCCGGGCAGCCCGGTATGTAGGAGGGATCCCAGACAGATGGGGCAATTCTGACACTACGGAAGGACATGAAGAGCGGCTAAGGAAACGGCGCCCACCTTTGGGAAGACAGGATAGTCTATGAAAGTAGCTGCCTCCGGTTCACCTATAAATTCAATGTATGTTTGAGCAAAATTCTGACGATCTCTTACAGAAGGTCCTAACTCCCATCAAGAAAGGCCCAAGAATAATGGAGCCGGCTTGGCGGAGTGATGGGAAGGGAGGGCTTTAAAGCGTGGCCTTGGCATTTAAACACGAAAACAGGAGGCGGGTGTAAGGGGGCTGTCCTTGTAACATTTAATCAAGCAAAAAATATTCATAGGACATTCGGGAACATTAACCTTTATTATGATTGTGTAGTGGGTTCGCGGGTGTTTGTTTCTCTGACTTTTCTTCAGTTCTGAAATTTCACAATAAAAATAATAATTAAACTCTGGTTGGAGAAGACTAAAGAAAAGAAAGAAAATAGAAATGCCTTTGCCTCGCTCGGAGCTCATTTCCTCGGTCTTACGCTGTGTCTTGCACGCCCAAAGGGAGGCAGAGGAGTGTGGAGAAAGAGCCTGGGCTTTGGAGAAAAACCAGAGACCTGGGTTTACGTCCTACACGCCTGCCTACCGAATGACAGGCAAGTCGCGCAGCCTCTCAGCCCATTTCCTTATGGGGTACAGATAAAAACACTCGCTGGCGATGACTGTCCTGAGGTCACCTCAGGTCAAGGTTATCTTTGTGAGGACTACCCCTGATACAACTGACAAAGTTTCCTTGTTTGTATCTGCAAGATCATAAAATAACTCAAAGGCCTTCTAGGAGAAACCACGAAATTAAAAGCTTTTCAGATAGTTTCTGCTTAGTTCTGTGATAGAAATGCCTAAATAGGGGTGTTTGCCTTGTCCTTCGGGCAATAACGGCCTGTGTACGTCTAGGGAATTTTGCAAAATTCCATTCAAGTTACTCTGGAAAAAGTTTTGCCGCACTGTTGTAATTCTGACTCCTGAAGGGTATGGCCAGGCGGCGGCTTCCTTTCCCTGTGCCGGGAGCGTGGCTGTGCCGTGGGCGCAGGAGTAAGACGCCCTGAGTTCTGCCGTGGACCTTACCTTCAAGAAACTGAATACACGTTCAGATCATTTTTATTTCACGAACGTTTCCGAATGCTCGGCTTCTAAGTATCTCTTCCTGCTTCTTCCCTTTCTTTCTCTGCTAGGAAAGGCACCAATGCCCAGACCTGACTACAAGCCTCAGGGGCCCAACGGCTGCAACTCCTACTTCCTGGGTCTCAAGATACCAGAAAGTGTAGGTATCGCCACCATCATTGTCTTAGCTGATTGGTTTGGACTAAGATAAATTCAAGAGTTATCACCGAAGGCAGGGAGCCCTTACAGGATGTAGTTGAGCAATGTGATTAAGTATTTTATGCTGGATACTGAGGAAAGGAGATAATTTTTAAAACAAGTATCTAGTTTCCATTTCTCAGAGGCAGCTGCCCCTCAGATAAGTGAACTTTGAAATCACCATTGTAAACATGAGTCAAACGTTAGGGGATCAAACATAACTCAATATGAAACAGACCTGAGAAGTGTGACTTAATTTGAATTAGAGAGATTTTCCATGCTGGAGCCCGCTGGGGCTGACCAGTGAGAGCCGACTGCCACGGCACTGTCAGGACTTTCCATGTCGGTAGTGGCACATCAGCTATGCTTGGAGTATTTAACATCATAGAACTCTGCAAACTCCACCTCCCCCAAATAAACCACCTCCATACACACATCCAGCCACTGGCTAAGCATTTATCATCATAGTGCAGACCCTTTCTCAAACTGTTGGTCTTCCCTGAAAACAAGTTATAAATTAATTTAGTTTAAGATTTCTTTAGAAAAGAGGTTTTATGTAAGATGTAGGTAGAGGGATTTCATATCTAAATTGTGATTCTGAACTGTATCTTAATAATCATCCTCAACTTCATTTTTCTGATGATTCAGAAGATTTTACTTTGTAATAATTTTCTAAGAGCATAATGTTTATTCCTCTAACTAAAATCCTGCTCACCCATATGGCATTTTTATGCAAATTGGAAAAAGGTCCCCTTTCCTTGAGACAATTTTCTTCCATCTGTCAGAAATTTATCTTAATGTACTGATTTTGTTAGAAAAGGAAACTTGACTGCTACTGGCTAGACATTTTTGTTAATAAATATATAAATCTATGATGTCTGTGGGAAAGAGGCCCCTTAGATATGACCCTCTTGTGCACTGAACAACCTGCACAGCTGAGTGCACAGCTGAAAGCCCAGCCTTGTCCACAATACTTAGCATGTACATGGACACAGAAGAAAGACAACCATCTCAAATATATATTTATGTAGAGAAAACACCCCATTTTCAGTCAATATATTTTACTTGATATCAATTTAGTAACTACAGAAGTGGTATGCACTGTATTTTGGAAGTAATGTCACTGTGTTTGCTGATACAAATATCCTTAAGAACTAGTTCAAGAATTTCCGATTCAGTTGAACTGAATGACAGCCACTACACTCATCTAATTCTCAGTTACCTCTGCTGTGATATATTTTTAGTTTTAGGGGCGAGGTACAAGCAAAATAGTTTACTTGAGGTATCAGATGATGGAGTTTACCCAGAATTGCAGAGTCCAGGCCTTTGCCTATTCTAATAATGAGGTAGATTACCTCTTAATGTTGCTTAAAAGGCCATTTTTAACTGCCCAACTCCACATTCTGCTTTAAGTGCCTTGGAATAAAAGTTTGAATGAGAGAACACCTGAGGAGACCCAAGGGGAAAGGACCTATAATAGCTGATTAATCAGTCCCCACTCATGCCCTGAAACCAGATTTTCACAGATTCTATCCAAGTCCTAGTTTCTATTATCAACAACTGTAAAAGATCCTAAGCTGCTCTATCTATATCTAGACCCACTCTGTTCCCATCTATTTTTTAATTGATTGATTTGAGAGACAGAAACATCAATTTGTTGTCCCACTTATTTGCATTCACTGGTTAATGCCTGTATGTGCCCTGACCGGGGGTCAAACCCACAACCTTGCTCTAACCAAATGGGCTACCGGCCAGGGCCCGTTCCCATCTATTTTATACACCATAACAATTACTCTTCTTTGATCACTCTTTGTATCATGTCCTTTCCTTGCTCAAGAGTGTGTATCAAATCTAACTAGTTACTTGGAAGTCAAGGTCATCCATCCATCAACTTACCGGCCTCCCTAACCCTCCTTCTTAATGAAAACTTATATGTATTTCCCTAAACAAACAGACTGACTTACAATATGATTTCCTCATTATTTCCTTTTTTTACCTGCTATATTCTTTTTTAAAAGTAAGTGGATTTTATCTATTATTATTATTTATTATTATTATTAATCCTCACTGGAGGATATTTTCCCATTGATTTTTAGAGAGTGGAAGGGAGGGAGCGAAAGAGGGAGAGAGGGAGAGAGAGAAACATTGATGTGAGAGAGCGGGTGCCTTCCTGGGCCCCTTGACAGGGAATCGAACCCATGACCCTTCTCCGGTCCACAGGCTGACGCTCTAACCACTGAGCCATGCCAGCCAGGGCTACCTGCCATGTTCTAAGTCTACCCTTATTTTTGTTAACCCTCTCTTCATCTTCTTTCAAACCCTCTAAAAAAATTTGTTTGTATGGCATTCTATGAACTTACCTACTCAGGTTATGCTATAAATTTACAGTTGTTTATAGGACACTTAACAAATGCATGTCCTGGTGTGCGCTAGATATTGCTGTGTGACCAGAGTCCCCTGTGTTCAGGAACTCTGTGTCCTATACCCGACTCTGCTCCCCAAAACATATAGACATATACACACTATTAAAACGGTGCTGTATGGGATGGGTCTCTGATAAATGCTGGTGACCTCTTGATGAGCTAAGGCTTTATTTTTCATAATTCTGAGCCTTGGGATCTTTTGCTTAAACAAAATCTGACACAAGTTTTAAATTCGGAAGTCTGGAAGCTCTGCTCTCTGGACTAACGTTCCAATTTCTGTTTTCATCACTGTAGTGACCTGAGAATTTGAAAATTACTCAAATCTAAAAGAAAAAATGGGCCATTCAGAGTTATTAAACTAATAACTAAATTGTGATTGCAACTCAGCATCCTGTGACTATCAACCTGCCATATCCCCGCAAGTCATTGGTGTTTTCAAGTGGTCTGAACAGGTAGCAGGGATTTGCGAAGCGGCTCGGCGAGCACATGGGCGCGCTTGCCTGAGGTCGTTGGACTACACGTGGCATTTTCTCCCTTCTCTTTTCCCCAGATGAGCTTGGGCATTCCAGCAATGACCAAGTGCTGCAACCAGCTGGATGTCTGCTATGACACTTGCGGTGCCAACAAGTATCGCTGTGATGCAAAATTCCGATGGTGCCTCCACTCTATCTGCTCTGACCTTAAGCGAAGTCTGGGCTTTGTCTCCAACGTGGCAAGTAGGTATCTTAAGGGCATCTCCCCGTGAGCAGGGAGTTTGTTCCTATTTTCACACAGAAATGTAGCCAGAGCCCTTTTACGCAACGAGGCCATTAAAGCTCACAGAACTTCATGGACACTGAACAGTGCAAGACAGGCCGAAGGAGGATGCTGGGCACTCGTTTGCTGAAGTTCGTGCTGTCCTGCCCGGGAGCTGCTGGCGCCACTCCTGATGGACAGGGCCACACCAAAGCCTTCCCAGAGATATAAAAATTTATCCCTTAGGGCTGGAGAAAGAGTTGCCCAGTTGGCTTTAGTTACCCATTCCACTGCTAAATAATTTTCCGTATAAGGAGTTATTCTGTATGGACCACTTGGTTTGGCTAATACCTTATTACCTTATTTTTTTTCTTAGTCAGGGAAAGAATTTTAAAAACCTATCTTTTTTGTGTGTAAAGGTCTACATATACTTGAGGATAATTATTTTTATAAACAGCTGCTTAGTTATCTAGCACTGATTGTGTAATATCTTTTTGCTAATTCACTTTAGGAAAAGTTTTTGTTTGTTTTTAAATATATCTTTATTTCAGAGAGAGGAAAGAAGAGAGAGAGAGATAGAAAGATCAATGATGAGAGAGTCACTGATCAGCTGCCTCCTGCACATGCCCCCTGCTGGGGATCAAGCCCACAACCCCGGCATGTGCCCTGAGCAGGAATAAAACCTTGATCTCCTGGATCCTAGGTCGATGCTCAACAGCTGAGCCATGCCCAGCCAGGAAGGAAAAGTTTTAATCTCTTAATTTCTGATGCCAGAACATCACACCAGGTATTAGCATTATGTATTTTTAGTTGGTGATATTTGAAAGTCAGGTTTAAAGAGCTGACCATATGCCACAGAGACGGTCAGTAGGAAAAATCTTGGATCTTGTCCAATGATCCATGCCTAGAGTATGGTCCTAAAGTGAATCTCTGAGGGCTTGAAAGTATTGATAATTACTTAGGCCTACAAAAGGGGGTATCTATCTGTACCTACAAAGGGTGAGAAAGTACCTGCTGCTAATCTAGGGTCAGGTCAAGTTACTTTCCTCAAGCAATGTCCTATTGATTCTTTCACCCAAATATCTCTTTGATAACTTGCCTGGTTACTGCAAATTAACTTAACCTCTGGCTCCCATCAGATTTATTCTCCCCATAAGGACCAGATATATTTTTATACCCACACATCTAGTCATCTTCCTCTTCCTTAGGAGTAAGTCCAAACTCCTCAATATGACACAAATATGTGTCAAGGAGGTGAGGGACCTATACGCTGAAAACTATAAGACATTGATGAAAGAAACTGAAGACTCAAATAAATGGAAAGATGGTCCACGCTCGTGGATTGGAAGGATTAATATTGTTAAAAATGTTCATGGTCCTGGCCGGGTAGCTCAGTTGGTTAGAGCATCATCCTGATAATGCCAACGTTGCAGTTTGATCCCCAGTCAGGACACATACAAAAAGCAACCAATGAATGCATCTAAGAGTGGAGCAACAGATCGATGTTTCTCTTTCTCTCTCTTCCTCTCTCTCTCTAAAATCAATAAATTTTTTAAAATGTCCATACTACCCAAAGGAATCTACAGGTTTAATGCAATACCTATCGAAATTCCAATAGGTGTTCTGAGATGCCTTCCATAATCATCCTTACCCCAAAGGGATAGAGACCCTTACCGTGGGTTCCCATACCGCCTTGATGTAACTTCCATTATAGTATAGCGTAGCCACCTGTTCACCTGTTGATCCTGTCATCCTCTTTGTCCAGACTGTGAGATCCTCTGTGTCCCTGAGGCCTAACAGAGTGGCTAACCAATATATCCAGCAGGCACACCTGTTTTTTCAGTGAATAAGTGGTTATTCATCCCACACTTGAATAGAGAAAGCCACAGGAAACGTAGTAGTGTTTTCTGAGTGAGCATTCTGCAAAAATGGTAAATTTTCCATGGAGTGAGCACAGTGGTACGGAAGATGCTGATTGCTAACCATGGTTTTGACCTGGAGACCCATAAAAGGAGGGTATCCCAAAGTGCATTTTTTAAAATGGATTCATTTTTAGAGAGAGAAAAACACCAATTTATTGTTCCACTTACTTATACATTCATTGGTTGATTCCTGAATGTGCCCTGACCAGGGATCGAACCCACAACCTTGGCGTGCTGGGACGCTGCTCTAACCAACTGAGCTACTAGCCCAGGGCCCAAAATGTACTTTGCTCTACTAGACTGGATGGAGGCTTCTCTGAAAAAACTTTTTAAAAATAAAAAATACAGGTTTACTCTTTATAGTTGAAAGTATTACAGATGTCCCCTATTCCCCCCGTTGGCCTCCTCCACCCCATCCATGCCCCCTCACCAAGCCTTCCTTTTAAATGTTTGCCCTTCCTTTGAATTCTGCGTTGGGATCATTGCCCCTGCTTTCCTCTGGGTATCCTGTGAATCTGGGAAATGGCTGCCTCTTTAAAGTTACTCCCACTCCTCGGGGGCCGCTCTGTATCTTAACCTTCCTGTTTCTCTGCTGCTTCTTCAAGCAGCATGCGACTCGCTGGCCGATACCGTGTTCAACACTGTCTGGACCTTGGGCTGCCGGCCCTTCATGAACAGCCAGCGCGCAGCCTGCGTGTGCGCCGGGGAGGAGAAGGAAGAGCTGTGAGGAGGCGGCGGTTCCTTTTTGGTTTCCGGCGACATCACGGCTGTCAGGCTCCGACAGGGTCGCGTGGCAGATGTGTCTCATCCTTTCTTCCGAGAGTTTGGATACCACAAAGCAGGGGAAAGGACATAGTCTACAGCTGAAAAGCGAGCCCCATCCTTTGAGGAGAACTGGCAAAAAGACATGGAGTGATCTGGAGGCTGCCCGTCGCCTTAACACTGGTCTCCCGGCCGAGGCACATTTGCCTGGAATTTCAGTTCTTAGCTTAAGACTAAAATAAAGACGAAATACTGGGATTCCTGGACTTGATCATTATATTCATAAGTGAAATTTTGGAGAGGCCAACCATTCGGAAGGCAATGACTTTCCTCGGGTCCATGTGTCAGTTACCAGTAAGCACCTCACATATAACAAAGTGTACTTTTTAGAAAATGTGAAAAGAGATGAATGAATTCCATTATCACCAACAGGCTTCCGTTTCACTTAGAAGAAAACAGAACCCGACCTGGTAAGTTCCATCAGTGACAACAGTTACGCCCATTGGTGCCCAAGAGGTCAGAGCCGGTGGTCTGAGGCTTACCTGATTGAAGCCAAGGGAGGTGGGGAGCAGAGGGAGCTTGGTCTCCGAGGTTCCATTTCCCCCTTCCGTCAACTATTCCTGTCGATATCCCCAAGTACTAGGTGGTCTTCGTGTCATGTTAAGACCTGAGAAGCACTGGGTAAAACTGCCACTGAAGATAACTTAGAAAAGGGTCTAAAACTGAGGGGAGTGGGAGACAAATGGCCGTTCCCCAAATAGTGTTTCTCAGCCCTGATGGCAAAGTAGAACCAGCTGACGCAGCAGAGACCGGCTCTGGGGGCGTCTGGGCCGGGCACGCCTCCTGCTGTGCTTGGCTTCACTGCGCTTCCCAGAGGTTGCATTTTTTACAGATGGAAGGCAAGACCTTCCACCAGAGAAAAGATTATGATTCACTTTATTGCGATACTCAGCTTATGGTTGTAGTCTGGAACCAGATCGGAAATATCTCTGAGGTCTGCCTGTATCGACAATTTACAAAATTGACTCTGAGGCCCCACGAGGAAGGAGGGCCGCGAAGGTCGGGGAGTGGCAAGTGAAGGCCACGTGGACCAAATCAGGCCCCACACCTGCTGCTGCAGAGTTTCACTGGAACAACCAGGCCCACATGTGTTCACTGCTGCTCCTGGGCCCCGACAAAGGCTGCACGGCCCAGAAAGCCTAAACTATTTACCATCTGGCCCTTACAGAAAATTCGGCAAACCCCTGATGGCGATCACTCTCTCCTTTCCTTTCCTCTGGTTAATTTCACGGGCTGCAGTAAGAATTGTTGATTGCAGCCATTTCTAAGGAGCAAAAGAAGAAAAACTGTTTGTTGATCTTATGTAAACCCATGAAATTAATTGGCTTATTAAGAAATTGGGTTTAACTGCAGCTAAAATTTATCTCCGTGGTTTTTGCCATTTATTTCAATAAAATTTATTAAGCACCTACAAAATATAGTGTGGTATAACTTCATACCTTTTTCTATTGTGTTACCAGAGGGCACAGAACTCCAAATTACAGGGCATAAGAAACCAAATTTTAATTTTGTCTATAGTTCAGTCATTGAATCACTTAAAGGCATGTTAATAAATTTATTAACATTCATTAATTGAAGACATCTCACTTAAGATGATATAAAAACATCACAAGAAAATATTGTGCAAGAGAAAAGTCAAATAGTATATTTTAGTGCACGCTTACGTTGATAAACTTCCAAATCTGTAACTATTCTGTATTTGAATCGAAATTTCAGGGCATAATACTATTTACGTATTTGAGGAGTCATTGTGTATTTAAGTCATCGTTTCAAGCAACTATGTAATTAAGTTCTTAATTTGAAATATTATACCCCACTTCTGGATTTGGTGGTCCTACTGCAGCCTGTAGGTGTTTGGTTGTAGAAAAGAAATGGAGGGCGCCCGTGAGCCGCTCTGGGTGGACCGTGTGGTGTCGCTTTAGGCCTCGGGGTGCAGCCCCAGCGGCTCGCTGCTGGCCGCCCTCTCCCCACCCAGGGGTCCAGGGTCTCGGCCAGTGGCCTGGGAGTCTGTCTGCACCCACAGCATAGGTGTAGACGAAGCACAGTGTTCTGGGTGTAGACTGATGTTCTCAGAGGGACGGGGAGGAGGGCCGCCCGGGCGTCGGGCGCCCTAGCCCGCCCAGTCGATGCTGATGGGGCCGCCCGTGAGCACCCGGCTCCGCAGACCAGCAGCGTCCTCCCCGCGGCCCGCCTCGCGACGCGTTCGCCGGTGGCAGCCCTGGGCGCAGCGGGAGCGCGCCTCCAGCCTTCCGCAGACCAGCACCCGGCAGTGCAGGAACACCTCCTGCAAGACGCCGTTACAGTGAACCAAGCCGAGGGGGCAGCTCGCCCTCGCGGGCACCTTCTAGAAGCCAGACCCTGGACCAGATGTTTCATATGTTCCCTCATTTCATCTAAACAACCACGCTTTCAGGGAGGTGCTACTATCCCCATTTTACAGATGAGAAGGCTGAGTCAGAGCTCAGGAACTTGCCCAGGTTCACGCATTTAATAAGCTCACGCACGCATTCAGTGGTGCGGCAAACACACTGGGCCCGGGGGACACCGCCAGCCCCCATCCGTGCCTTGGGCGCTGGAGCAGGGCCAGGGGAGCGCAGCATCTCATAACGTTAGCACCTTCGCTCCCCTGCACTTTGTGGGAAACCCGTTCTTCCCCCAAGCGCCCCCCTAGAAGCAGCTTCCCAAAGACGTTGCCTCGCTGAGGGGGAGCCCAGGGTCAGCCAGCATAGTTGGCACTCATTTCGCAACGGTGATGTAGCTGGAAAGGGCATCAATACACTTAAATGCAGCGTGGAAAAGACTGTTGGTCTGAAACTTCCTTCTGTTGAAATGTTTCAACAACTCTATTGAAACAAAGCTGTCCCCCTTACCCTGCCGTAGATGGCCGCTTACAGCCTCTGTAGCACGATGTACATTTAAACATATGCAGCATGTTCCATATGCACGTGAGCTGCTGCAAGCTTTTTCAGACCTCCCTCTGTCTTCCCAGATTTCTACACCACCTGACTGACTGCTCAGTACTGCGCCAGTCCATACACTGCGGCCCTGTTTCTTTGGAGGCTTTTTTTTCACTCCCCTTATAACGATGCTCTATAAACACATCCAACACAGTGTGTTTTTCTTCTTTGGCTTGCTTTAGAGAAATTGTCAGAATTGGAATTTTTTGAAGAAAGAATATAATGATTTTATGGTTATTATTACACATTTTCAGACATCTTTCCAGAAAGTGTACCAATTTACATGACCACGGGATACTTCTTATAACTTGTTTTAACTGGCATTCTAAGTACTATTTTCATGGAATATGTCACTATTTATCTTTTCTGTGGATTTTCTGTCCGTGTTCTTTGCCATGTGATCACCACACAGGCTTTTTTCAGCCATACCTGCCCACAAGGGTTTAAAATTGTGGTCATGTAGTATTTTCTTTGAGCAAACACTGTCAGTTTATTGGGAGGGGGCATATAATGACTTTTATGAAGGTGTTAAGCTTCTAGATGGCCAGTTTTATAGAATTTTTCGCAGAGGTAATGCAGATTGTAACCGTGGGCTCATAGAATGTCACCACGTTGGGACACTAAGAAGGAAGTCTCAGGTGGTTGGGTGGGGAGCGGGCTTTTGGCTTACCTTGTGGTCTTTGCCCACAAACTTGAAGACAGGGGCCTGGAAGTGCTTTGCTAGGTGATCCCGAGACGTGTACTGCTTCACAGAGTCATCTGACACGCAGCTGAAAGTAGGGCAGGGTAGCGAGTAAGACTTGATTGTTTAAGCAGAGGTGGAAAAACAGTCCAGCCCTATGTGTTTGGTCCAAGGAGAGGGAAACTGGATGGAGGAGGCTGGGCTGCACTCAAGCTTTTCGAGAATGAAGGAAAAATGAAATTGCCTTCAGACCCAGCCCTGCTCATTAGCACTGTCTGTCCTGTCTGTCATTCACTGTACCCACAAACTGGGCACAAGGACCTCCTGCCAAGTCAATGTACTGAAGTATTAGCAACAATAGTTATTTCAAAAATACCTTTGTATTTTCATTTGTAGTATATTGCAGGAATCCTGCATTCCTGTGCTTTATTACTGGTTTGAGAAGGCTTTTCTTTAACCAGATTTCATAAATATTTAGGAATTCCTAATGGATTGTCACCCCTGAAGGGATTCAAGGGTGAGCCAACCCCAATTTGTGCATCAAAGAGCTGCATGAAGATCCAAGTTTCTTAGAGAATAAACAACTGGCTCTATTAGGGAAAAGCCATTTGCTTCCAAATTGTTTTTAATTCCTCTTCCCAAATTTAATACTAAGCTGTAGCTTGACAGGACTTCAGGGTTTTCATCTCAGGCCTACTGCTAAAGTGAACTCCTCAGCTCACCTCAGGGTTAGCTGGGGGAAAGAAGTATTATGAATTCTGCAGTTTGAGGCCAAGGTTTAGTATTTATGAAACTTTTCTCCTTAAATGTTAAAGGCCAAGGATCACATTTGTCTTATCTTTTCCATTCTGAATTCTAAATGAACTTTTTCCCCCCTAAGTATATTTTTCTTTTTATGGATCCCTAATAGTTCCTGCCTACCAGGCCAGGGAAAGAGTGGGGATCAGACAGAGAAGCCTGTGAAACTGGATCCTTGCTCCATGTGCTAACAGACCACTTTCTAGCTCGTTGCTAATTGCTCCTCCAGTGCTGTTAAAAATTCCAATAAAATTGTTTAAAAATAAGGCATCTTGAAACTTGTATTACTACTACTATCTCATTCCTCTGAACTGAAGAGGATCCTCACGTACAATGTGTTTCTGTTATTTCTTGCATTTATGTCATTTTCATTTACCTTAGGTGCAATTAACTTCTACCATCTTCCAATTATGTTTGATGATAAATCCTATGGCACATTTAATCTGTGCAACACACTCTGCTGGTGCTGAAAGGATATTAAGATGAATAATATGCCCTATGAAATCAAGGAGTGTATAGCCCAATATTTATAATAATAGTAACACTATTAAAATGGCACTTCCATCTAAGTGTCTCAGCATTTTCAATTTATCTTTATCTAAAAATAGTAGGGGGTGGGGAATTGGGGACAAAAA